CTCTCTTCTGATGGAACAATTCAGACAAGTTCTCCAAGAGAGCTTTGTTTGCTTTTATGTCTCTCTCTCTCTCTCTTTCGATGGAACAATGCAGAAAAAGTTCTGCAAGAGTTCTTTGTTTGCTTTGATGGAGGGCTATAGGAGTAATAAATATGTTTAACCACAATATACATATAAGGAGAATAAAACTATTCTCCCAGTTTATTTGAATTGGACTTGTAAGAGAACTATAACTGCAGGAGAAGTAATTTAATTTGATTTTATGCTTATGGCTCTATGAAATATGAAAAAATAAACATGCATCGAGTCCATAAGCAAACTCAAAAAACAGAATCACGGATAGAAAAGAGAAAAAACAAAAGAATTACAAAACAAATAAAATTTTGAACTTTGGAACCAAAGAGAAATAGGTAGAACGTTAAAGCATGTCGATATTGATAGGGGTAACGACGTTGGCCTCACCTAGGCGTCACTCTGTCCAACGAGGAGGGCAATAATGCTGACTCCGACTTCTGACCCCGCGCGCTTGACTGAGGCAGGGGAGGACGACGACCGGGTGTTTTATGTGACTCTTCAATTATATTTTTTCAAAGTTGATTCTTTCGATGATAAGTACAACACATGGGATGATTATATCTACAACACATTTTTCTTAAAAGATGCACTTTTCACATTATATGAATATTATAACGAAAAATCAATTTTGTGTTCAAAATTTTTCTCCTGTGAATGTTTATGATTTTGTTGCCTTTTTACATGATCAAATTAAGATGCTTGTCTAATTCTAAACCTTATCTGTCTTGGTTCTGGGATCATGATTCCGTTATGCTAATGCTTGCTTTTGCCATCTCCAGGTCGAGAAGATAGGCCTTGACTACATGGATGTGGAAAGTCTAAAGAAGATGAACAAAAATAAGAAGTTGCTTTAAAAACTTGCTAAGAAGCATGGTCTGCAGTATCGGACCATACCGCCCGGTACGTACCGGTCCGACAGGCTTCCGGTACGCGGACCGTCTATAGCAACACTGTAGCAACACTGTAGCACTGTAGTAGTGTTACAGTGCTCGACACGCCTAAATATATCGAGCGGTACACCTGGGTGTATCGCTCGGTATACCGTACCGTATCGGTACCGAACCCAGGTCGAAACTCCGATACGGTACAATATTACGGACCTTGCTAAGAAGTACCATACTTTTCTAGCATCAGAGGCTATTATCAGACAGATCCCTCGCCTCCTTGGACATGGTCTTAACAAGGCAGGCAAGTACTATAACTTTTTAACTCTTATGGCAAGCATGACACTTTCTAGTGCAGCTTCTCATATTTTTGGTGACAAAATGAAACAATCATTTGTAAGTTTTAGTTGTCATATTCTTCTTTTTTTACTCCTTTTTCATTGTAATTTCCAGGAAATAAATAGTTGTTTCACATCTAAGATAGATAGTCAAATAATGGTAATTAGTCAACAGCCACCCCACCCTCAGTGAGCTAACTGGCTACTTTATAGAACCATCTAAACCATGTATTATAATGCAATTACTGGATTGTTGTAACCTGATACAGTGTATTTTGGAAAATAGAGAAGTCTGCTTTGGAGATTACTTGTTTTTGCAAGTGACATTGCCATTAGTGTTATATTGTTTCATTGGAATTGATTGTCATGCTCTTAAACTATTGTCATCTATATGAGAATGTTGTGTGGAGTCTGATGAGAAAAATGCTAAACTAAACTTACACTCGAGGATAAACAATTATTTCTATTATAACGAAAAAAAAAAAGTTGATTAACACATTGTTTTATTCTGATGCAAGGATTGTACCAAAGTTCTCTGCTGCTGGGTGTCATTGCTTTTGTCATTTTCCTTTTGTTCATTTTGCTGCTGATGTTGACTTCATTATCAATTAGGTTGAACTTTAAATCTCGATACATCTTTTTATGATGCTGACTTGTGTATTTCCTTCAAGTTAGTTTCTACTAATTTAATATATGATTAGAGGAAAATATAACTCCAAGCCAGGTGATTAAAACTGAGCCTTAAAGATCCTGTGCTCCATCCACACTTTGGTACATCCAATTATAGTTCAGGATGAAAAAAGAGAGTGAAGTAATTGGTAGATAACTTCAGTTACAAATTCAATATGTAATGGTAAATCAAAATTATTAATGATTTGTAATCTTTTCTCAGACTTTATTAATGTCACAGCATTCTTATTTCAGCAACCCTAAGGTTTGTTTTCAGATTCAATGGGAAAAAAGAGGCAAGAGTAAAATAAGATCTTTACTTTTTGGAGCACTTGATAGATCTCAGTGCATGTTCAAAGCCTCCATGTCACCAAATCTCACTGCCAAGAGAAAGGCTTACAAGCCAAGGCATGAACACAACCCCAAGATCACCTATATCCAGTGAAATCTGTATGGCTTGTTCAGTGTGTATCTCAATCTTTCACAAGTCATATATACATTCAATTTATCTCAAATACAAAGTAATGACAGATTCAGGTCTTCAACCTCATAATATCAGGCATGGAACATTCTAGAGGTTCTAAATTTATTTTTATATAAGCTGTAATGCACTTGTCACAAAATTTAAACAAATATTGTAAGATTCAGCAAAAGATGCATGACAAGATCCAGTCCAATCCATTAATTACATAGGTTGGTGCTAAGTCAAAAAAAAAAAAAGATCTTGGCTCATTTATGATATTAGAGCTTAAAACTATGTTTTAAGGTAGCAGCTGACTTGTATTAGCCTATAAATAATCCCCTACCTAAACACCTACAAGTGAGTTAAGAAAGATGTGTTGTTGGCTTCTTGTCCCCTTTCATTGCTTTGGTTTTATGCTTGTTTAACCATTGCTGAAGGTTTTAATATTTGATGTCTAGTTTACTCTGGAAGGACAAGCATGCCTCTCAAGCTCTATGATTGAGGATTGGTAAGGAAGCATGTGGTGCAGTTGGAAGACAGGATAGCTGCCTTTAAGCTATCATTAGCTGAAATGTCCCATAGGAGACAGTGACATTGGTCACATCAACTCACATTGGGAAGAGTATACCCTTTTTTTGATGCTTGACTTCACACAAATGAGGTGATTAGAATATTGGACAAACAAACATTGGCAATTGGGAATGAGACATTCTTGTTGCTGTTTGGTGTATTGAAATGAAACCAAAGCAAGCAAGAGACATTGTATCCTCTGGTGTGTGGACAAAGGAGACAAAGGTGAACTCCTGTTTGTTCACCTTAGGCAAACTAATGAAAGATGAGAGAGAAAGCCAAAGGCTAATAGTAGAATACAAGACCTTATGTTAGTTTCACTGTTGGCATTGGTGGATGGATGGATATCTTAGTAGGAATAGGCTTATGACAAGACAAATGCTTCATCAAGCAACTCCAATCTTAGTAATTAGCAGCTGAAACCACAAAAGCACAATGACTTTTCATGTTTTTTTTCTCTCTCTCTTTTCTCACTTGGAAATATCACAGTTCAAAGTATGGAATGAACATTCAACCCTTTTATTTAAAAGGGTTGATTGATGCATACAATTTTTTCCATGAAAAACTCAAAAAGAGGAGTTTTTTTCCTCAGCCATCTATCTTTATCATTAAACTTTATGAAGAACAAATATATATATATATATATAATATATTTCTTACATTACATGGCCTAAATAACAACCTACCTACATTTTATTTTGTCTTCATCAATCGAAGGATATCATTGTGTGAATTGAGTTGTATTATTCAGTACTAGTTGACTTGATCTACACAAGCCTATTTTTCTTCTGGTGCAACAGTTGCAATGCACCCACCCCACCTTCTCAAGCATGACAAGATGAAAAGGACAAGAACAAGGCAATGTGACAGATACCTACACTGGAGTTGCAACATCTTCTTCTTGCCAAAAACAATGAAAAGGTGTTCATCATCACACCACAGCAAAACCTATTTGAATTCAACCACCACTGTTGCATCTCTCTCTCTCTCTCTCTCTCTCTCTCTCTCTCTCTCTCTATGTATATATCTATATATATTACCTCCCACTGTTGTCTATCATTGCTCACATGCCTCACCTTTAGAAATGTCACTCTCCTTCTTAAAAACCTCTTGAAGCTCATCCATCCATCATAGACTCCTTTCTTCACCATTAATGCACACCTCATTCTGAAGGAGGAGAGAGATCAGATACGGGCATGAAACCAAGCTTCGCCTCTCTCTTCTCTAGAGTGAGGCCGATGGCTTCCTCTCCTCCTCCTCCTCTTCTCAACGAGTCATGCCTGTCGAACTCGTCGTCAGGCGAGTGGGAGAGCTTCTCGGACGGCGACGCCGTCGAAGCGGTCATCCACGGGCTGAGGTCGTCGGACAGGCTGTTCTTCGAACCAGGCACGACGAGCTCGATGGTGGAGGAGGCGGCCAAGTCCGACGTCGACGGCGCTCCGTTCGAGGGGAGCATCGCTATGGCGGTGGAGTCGGAGGACCCTTATCGTGACTTCAAGCAGTCGATGGAGGAGATGCTGCTGGCGCATGGCGTGGGAGACTGGGCGTGGCTTCAGCAGATGCTGGAATGGTATTTGCTGCTCAATGGGAAGAAGAATCATGGGTTTATAATAGGAGCATTCATGGACTTGCTTTTGGGCATTGCTTCTTCTTCCTCTTGTTCTTCTTCTTCTTCTCCTTCATCCTCTTCTTCCAGTTCTTTTACCTTCGAGATCGAGGAGGAGGAGGAGGAGGTGGTGGAGGAGGAGATGATGTGAAGTGGATGCAGTTTGACGTCCATCCTATTCGATCACTGTAGCCATGGGAAGCAGAGTACACTCAAACATGACTTGCTGCTAATAGCATGGATGTGGATTTTTGTCTTTGACTAAATGGGGGGGGAAATAAAATTGTGAATTTTCTCTCTCTCTTTTTTTTTTACATGGATTTTCTTTTTCAACAAAAAATAGAAACACACAAACCACTATAATAATAATAATCATATATTTCATGAGCTTAGATGATGCCAAGCAATCTTTCACTTTATTGAGGTTGGAAGGAAGAACAGATGAGTCTCATATCATTATTTGTTTTAGTGAGCCCCAAAGCACAAGAGAGCATTCTTTGATGTTCAATATTTGAAGTCCAATCATGGAATTACAATATTTTTCGAAAGTGTTAGCAAATCAAATTTGTTTTTATTTTTCTTGAAGAAGAGAGGAGGAGAAAGCTTAAAAAGAAGAAAATTGTGGGGTACTTGTTTTTCCCTTTGTCAACCAACCAACCAAAGCTAATGATAAGATTTGATTGAAAGAAGAATCCTAGTGGAATAAATTGACAAGCAAAGAAAGGTAGGATTTTTCTTGTTTCCAAAAACATTTCTTCTTTCAAGTTTGTGTTTTGCCTATACTTTCTGAATCAAATTGAGGTAAGACTGCAAGAGGCAGTGAAAAGGAAATGTCATGACCCAAAATTCAAGCCAACTTAATTTCTTCTTTTTGGATTAGATGAATTGGAAAATGGATGCACAGTTGTCTGAGACAAAGATGAAACAAATTGAAAAGATAGAATGCTGTGTGGAAGGAAGGATCACAGAGCAACAGTTCCCAGTCAGTGGAACCACACACTTTGGAAGTAAGCCAAAAGATATGTAGTGTGTGTGTGTGTGTGTGTGTGGCCTGCAACATCATCAGGTAGAAGAACTATAGATGAACAGTAAGTACTATGGGGCAACTAAAGCTTTAAATGCTCCTTTCAACTATATACTCTCTCTCTCTCTCTCTCTCTCTTTCTCTCACTCAATAGATGCCAAACAAATACTTCCACAACGTAAAAAGGCAATAAGCTAGCAACAAAACTCTCTCTCTCTCCTGTCGGCTTGTAGACTATTGTCTACAGATAGATAGATTATGGGTAAGAAAAGACAAAAGGAAAGGTAGAGGTGAGTTTTGTTCTTCGCGAGATATCGCTTACCTTTTTTAGCCGCCATGGAATTCTTCCGTATGTGATGTTGAGAACCCAAACCTTGTTGAAAGGTTCAGTCTGGATCAGTGAGTCACAGCGGCAACAACATCAACTCGTCAAGCTCGCTCATCCTCATCTGCGAACCTTACAGCAATGGAGAGAGAGAGAGAGGGAGAGAGAGATGGTGTCGTCCTTTTTGGTTGGACGTAAAAAGCCTGCAGCAGCAGCGCTGGATTGGGCGCTCTGTGGTTGACCGCCAACTGTTCGATGGTGGGTTCAGTGCTCGTGCACTGTTGATGAATAGGTTCCAACCTGATACCGACCCCTCACGCTACCACACATCTGTAGGTGTAATAATACTTACTATAGCCAACTTTCTAAAGAGAGACAGAGACAGAGAGAGAGAGATTGTAATAAAGAGCTCTTTATTTATTTATTTAAAAAAAAACTAATAACACATCAGCAAATGAATGAGATTGGATTCCATTAGCAAGCAAAGCTATGTTAATATTAGGAAAAGACCATAACACATTCTTAAGAAACACACCGTACCATGATATTTTTTTTATACAAATTTTATTAAAACAATTATGTTTATAATGTTTTTTTTATATCATGTTAAAATATTTTTAACAATACCCAAAAAAAAAACATTATAACGTGTAATATAAAAATGCTATAACATAATGCTTTTGTACTTTGTATATTTGATCTTATTTTAAACATGATCATTACAAGGCTCACCCTATGAATCAATTCATAGGATAAGGAATGGAGGAAGAAAAAAAAATTAGACTAAGAATATTCTGGATATTAGACAAATTGAAAAAAAACATTAACTATTAGAGAATTCTAAATATGAGGATATTTTTCGAGAAAAACCCAGAAAGATGGGCTTTTTTCGGTGTATCGACCTTGTTATTAATCAAACTTATTGCACACGTATTAACGAACGATCGATCGATCCTCTCGAAGTAGTAGTCCGGAAGCAGCACACAAAAAAGAATAATAGATTTGTTGTAACAAAGAACAAAGCAACAGTCAAAACCTAGATAAAATCTTGTCCTGAGAAAGAGCACTAGTGTGGCCTAATCTGTGAAACAAACCTGACGACATACACGAGTTGCTGGGGCAAAGGCGAGATACTCCAAGTTGCTCAGATTTTTTTTTTTTTTTTTGGGGGGGATTTATGGAAGATTGGTTCGTGCCACACCACCTACGATCGCCTTGGCTCAGTGGTCATCTTTGCTGCCGATTTCCCCTCGAACAATTCACCCAACTTTGTCTCGATATTTTCTGGAGAATATTTGATGTATTTTGATGGATTCTTGTTGTTCTCAAGCATTGGCCTGCAAACAACAACGCTGTCTGTGTCAAGGGCCACAATCGAAGGAACAAGCATTCCATAAGCATGCATATATGGGGTTTGTAGAAACGAACATACCCAAACCGTTTTATGAAAGATCTATACGCAGGTAAGAGAACTTCAGCAACTGCAAGCCTTAAAGATTCACGCAGCTCTTGATCAGGTACCGCCCACTCACACTGCCTTAGACAAAGCTCCTCAAACTGCATGTTGAAGGACTTGAACCTGACAATAGATTAAAAAAAAGGTAGCTCCATTTGTGAGAACACCATAAGTTTATTGCTGAGAATAAATTTCAGAGTAAATCCGACCTATCTTTCAATATTGGTTTCGGGACTAAACCACTACTTCCACCATCGCTTCCAGGTATACTTCCACCTCCAGATGATGTCAAACCTTGGGCAGAGAGGGTTTGCAATATCTGCAGTTGACCAAATAGAATTACAACATATACAGCACGCCATGCACCAGAAGAGATCTTATCATTAGGATCAGTTTTGGAATATATAAAATCATAAAAGAAAGCATATTATTGGTTCAAAAGCACCAAGATATGAAACACTGCTGTCCATGTCATTTGTTCATGCTTAAAAGTAAAATCAAATATGTGAACATCAGAATAGCATCAATCAAGATAAAAATAGAAACAGTGCTATCCGCCAAGATGCTCCAGTTTATAGAAACAAACCTTTGCCCAACCAAACCTCCTATACTGGTTCGCATTTTGTTGTACAGACCTACGGTGTCTTTGTATCCAATCATCACCCAGTATATCCTTTGCTTCTGACCTAAAATAAGAATAAGCATCAGATACATATAATCCAAAAGATTTCGAATATCATATACTCATGGAAGAACATACCTCCGCACAGATTTAACGATGTAGTGAATATTATTCATAAGAAACAAGCATTGCAAAGCAGGATCTTTATACATCTTGGACTTCCCATCCAAGTTACTCTGAAGAGCTTGCATAATTCGCATTGTTATAGATGCCAACTGGTTCCTTGTTCCATCTCCATGTCCAAACTCCAGGAAAAGTTGTTTGAGTGTTGCCTGGTAGCTGTACATGTTTGGTGAAAAACTGTCAGGAGAGAAGAAAGCATGCATTGTTGAAATGAAAGGCTAAAATAGATTGTCCATGGACTTAAACAACACGAGAGAATATGTCATAATTGCCACAAAAATCAGAGAATATGTCATAATTGCCACAACACGAGAGAATATGTCCATGGACTAAACTATAGTTAAGATCATAACCACAAAAATATTTGCCAGCTTGCACTATACTAAAAATTCTCCTGAACGAGTCTTGAGCTCCAATAAGTTTGGCTCCAATTATTCACAGTAAAGAATAGGCGTTATGTATTTCTATGTTATCATTGTGTGCCCCTCATAAGACAAATCATTCATTAAATAATGCGAGACAGTTGAAGTAGAAACGAGCACCATGAATTTTGTGATAATCATGTACCCCTTAAAATAAAGTAAAACCCTTAATAAGACTACAATGATATTTTTTTGGGTTAGACAGTTTGGAATCAACAGACAAAAATCTAGAATTGTTGGGATGTGGAGGCTAAGATGAATATATGAAGATAGAATAAGAAGCACTTATGTTAGTGATTAACCAAGCTTTTGGATAAAAGACAAAATAAGAGGAAGTTAAGATTATAAAACCAATTTAAAGAGATGTGGCTGCTCTAATGGTAGGTCAGGATCCATACGATCAACCTCAAAAAGTTGGAACATTATGACCTGTTATCGTTGAAGAATAGGAAACGATGCAATAACAGTAACTGTAGAAACTTATAAACATACGAAAGGCTAACAGTAATGTAATGAAATGACTTCAAAGACTTTGAGGGAAGATTTGGTAGCTTAAAAGACAAAAACTTACTCAAAAAGAAACTTCACGTAATTAATGACATAGCTGGTTAAAGGATGGACAGTTCCATCAGCAATAAATGTTTTTGAAGCATCTTTCTCAACAGCTTCCTCAAAGTCCCCAAACGTCTCTTGGGCTGTTTGTGCCAATTGCTTTGTCAAACTCAGTGCAGAATCTCGCATCTCAGAGCAAGACTTTCCGTCAAAAATCAATTCAATCTGATCATTCAACATAAAAATATATTAGGTTTCTCAGTGAGGAATAACGCTAACATGTTTAACTATGTCTTCTACTACTAAATACACTATTGAAAGTATGTTTTAGATCCAACATGAAACAAAATATTGCAATAAACATCCATGCAGCCTAGAGGCAATCGGTATCAATTTTCCTTAGAATTATTAAGTTAAATTGTAATCCTAGAGTGTTAATGGAGCATACCATCTAAATGTTGCTTTTTAAATCAAAACCTGCAGGAAAGTATAAAACATGTGTGCCCGTTCAATCTATTAATCTATTGGCTAAAGATACATCTCTTTATAACGCAAAGTCTAAATGTTTCAAGCTAAATAAAATCCATCTATTCACTGGTTATCTAGCAAGATGATGATCTACCTAAGTTTGTAACAACTCTTAAAGTTCTGGTTTCAGTGGCATTGCA